TGGGAGTAATAGGAGTAGTGGCAATAGTGGAGATAGTGGGAGTACCAGGAATACTGGGAACACTGGGAGGGCTGGAAGTACTGGGAACACTGGGAATGCTGGGAGTGTTTGAGTATTGAGAGTGCTGGGAGTGTTCGAGTACTGGGAATGCTAGGAGTACCAGGAGTACTGGGAGAACTGAGAGCAACAGAGCACTGGGAGAACTGGGAATACTGGGAATACTGGGAGCACTGGGAGGGCTGGAGTACTGGGAGCAGTGGAGTACTGGGGATACTGGGAATGCTGGGAGTGTTTGAGTATTGAGAGTGCTGGGAGCGTTTAGGAGTACTGGGAGTGCTGGGAGAACTGAGAGCAGCAGAGCACTGGGAGAACTGGGAATACTGGGAATACTGGGAGCACTGGGAGGGCTGGAGTACTGGGAGCAGTGGAGTACTGGGGATACTGGGAATACTGGAAGTGTCTGAGTATTGAGAGTGCTGGGAGCATTTGAGTACTGGGAGTGCTGGGAGAACTGAGAGCAGCAGAGCACTGGGAGAACTGGGAATACTGGGAATACTGGGAGCACTGGGAGGGCTGGAGTACTGGGAGCAGTGGAGTACTGGGGATACTGGGAATACTGGAAGTGTCTGAGGATTGAGAGTGCTGGGAGAACTGAGAGCAACAGAGCACTGGGAGAACTGGGAATACTGGGAATACTGGGAGTAATAGGAGTAGTGGCAATAGTGGAGATAGTGGGAGTACCAGGAATACTGGGAACACTGGGAGGGCTGGAAGTACTGGGAATACTGGGAATGCTGGGAGTGTTTGAGTATTGAGAGTGCTGGGAGTGTTCGAGTACTGGGACTGCTAGGAGTACCAGGAGTACTGGGAATACTAGCAGCAGTGGAGTACTGGGGATACTGGGAGTACTGGGAGTGTCTGAGTATTGAGAGTGCTGGGAGTGTTTGAGTACTGGGACTGCTAGGAGTACCAGGAGTACTGGGAATACTAGCAGCAGTGGAGTACTGGGGATACTGGGAGGGCTGGGAATGCTGGGAGCAGTGGAGTACTGGGGATACTGGGAATACTGGGAGTGTCTGAGTACTGAGAGTGCTGGGAGTGTTTGAGTACTGGGAATGCTGGGAGTACTCGGAGTCCTGGGAGAAATGAGAGCAGCAAAGCACTGGGAGAACTGGGAATACTGGGAGTAATAGGAGTAGTGGCAATAGTGGAGATAGTGGGAGTACCAGGAATACTGGGAGTGCTGGGATCTCAGGATCACCTGCAGGTAGGTCTGGTACTCCATGAGTTTCTCGGTGTTGTGGTGTGGGGGTCACAGGGCAATGGGGATCCCATGGGAATGGGGGTTTCAGGGAATGGGACCTCAGGGATCCCAGCGACAGGGATCCCATGGAACTGGGGATCTCAGGGATGGGGATCCCATGGAATTGGGGATCCCAGGATCACCTGCAGGTAGGTCTTGTACTCGATGAGCTTCTCGGTGCCGCGGTGCAGCAGCCCCACGTGGGGGTGACAGGGACATGGGGATCCCAGGGAAATGGGATCTCAGGGATCCCAGGGAAATGGGATCTCAGGGATCCCAGGGAAATGGGGGTTTCAGGGAATGGGATCCCATGGAATTGGGGATCCCAGGGATCTCAGGGCTCTCAGGGATCCCAGGATCACCTGCAGGTAGGTCTTGTACTCAATGAGCTTCAATGAGTGCCGTGGTGCAGCAGCCCCACGTGGGGGTGACAGGGACATGGGGATCCCAGGGAAATGGGATCTCAGGGATCCCAGGGAAATGGGGGTTTCAGGGACAGGGATCCCAAGGAATTGGGGATCCCAGGGATCTCAGGGTTCTCAGGGATCCCAGGATCACCTGCAGGTAGGTCTTGTACTCGATGAGTTTCTCGGTGCCGCGGTGCAGCAGCCCCACGTGGGGATCCCATGGCAATGGGATCTCGGGGAAATGGGGGTTTCAGGGACAGGGATCCCATGGAATTGGGGATCCCAGGGGTCCCAGGATCACCTGCAGGTAGGTCTTGTACTCGATGAGTTTCTCGGTGCCGCGGTGCAGCAGCCCCACGTGGGGGTCGCAGCGCTTCACCGTCTCCCCGCTCAGCTCCAGCACCAGCCGCAGGACCCCGTGCGCCGCCGGGTGCTGCGGCCCGAAGTTGATGGTCAGGCTGGAAACCTTCTTGTGGGCCACGGGGTCCTTGTCTGGGGGGGGGGACAGTGCCAGGGCTCAGGGACACGATGGGGAACCCCAGGGAGGGGTCGGGGACACGGGGACAGAACCCTGAGAGGGCACAGGGACATGGGGAGGGGGCAGGGACACAGGGACAAACCCCAGGGAGGGGTCGGGGACACGGGGAGGGGTCAGGGACACAGGGACAAACCCCAGGGAGGGGTCGGGGACTGGGGACAGCCACCTAGGGAGGGCACAGGGACATGGGGAGGGGGCAGGGACACAGGGACAAACCCCAGGGAGGGGTCGGGGACACGGGGAGGGGTCAGGGACACAGGGACAAACCCCAGGGAGGGGTCGGGGACACGGGGACAGAACCCTGAGAGGGCACAGGGACATGGGGAGGGGTCAGAGACATGGGGACAGACCCTCAGGAGGGCTTGGGGACATGGGGACAGACCCCTGGGAGGGGTCAGGGAAATGGGAAGGGGTCAGGGACATGGGGACGGCCCCCCAGGGAGGGCACAGAACCCCCCAAATGTTGGGGACAGGGAGGGAGCAGCACCTGCTGAGGGTTTGTGGCGATCCTGAGTGACCCCAAAGTGCCCTGAGTGACCCCAAAGTGTTCTGAATGACCCTAATACAGCCCTAGGTGACCCCCAAAGTGCCCTGAGTGACCTCCAGACCACCACACTACCCCCAGAAGTCCTCCTTAAGCCCCACTTAGGGTCTCAAGACCCCTCCAGGACCACCCCAAAGACAGAGCCCCTTCCCCCCTTTCTCCCAGAGGCTCCCCGCTGTCCCCTCACCGTTCCAGGGTGGCGGCACCCACTTCTCGGTGGCCTTGCTCGGGTACATGATGGCCCCGGCGTACTGCTGCGCCCACTCCATGTCGGGCTGCCACTGGCGGGACCTGCGGGGCCGGGCGGTGAGCGGGGACAGCCCCACAGCCTCCCCGCAGCCCTCCCCGCCGTGTCCCCGTGTCCCCCGCGGGCTCACCGGGCCGGGGCCGGGCCCAGCCGAGCCCCCGCCGCGCTCAGCCCCGAGGGGCCGCGGAGCCGCCACAGCGCCCGCAGCGCCGCCATCGTGCCCTTGGCGCTGCGCATGCGCGGGGGGCGCCATGGAGGGGAAGGGCAGACGCTGTGGGCGCCGCCATGTTGGGTACGGGCAGAGCCCTCGCTATTAGCCTGCGGGCGTTGCGCTTGCGCAAGTCGCCATGGTGCTGGCGGGCAGCGCGCCGCCATGTTGGTGTGGGGGGGCTGCGCCGCCATCGTGACCTTGGCGCTGCGCAGGGGCGGAGGGCGCCGTGGGCGGGAAGGGCAGGCGCAGCGAGCGGCTCTTTGGTGGGTGTGGGCAGGTGCGCCGCCATCGTGTGTTCGGAGCGGGAACGCCGTGGCTGGGAAGGGCAAGGGCAGCTGTGAGCGCCGCCATGACGGGTGTGGGCAGAAAGGGTGCGCATGCGTACAAACGCCGCCGCTGGAAAAGGACACACACGTGGCGCGGACACGCCCCCACCAAACCCGCGCCCAATCACAGCGCGGCGTCTTCGTGACGTCACCGAAGAAGCGAAAAAAATTCTAGGAAGGGGCGGGGCAAGGAGCGGTTGCCACGGCGACGGCGCCCAGTAAGACCACGCCCCTCAGGGCGGAGCTGTCACGGACCACGCCTTCTCGGGCTCTCCCGGGTCGTTGCGAGCCCCGCGCCCCGCCCCGGGGTCACCGAGCGCCACCGGAGCCCCCTCGGGACCCCCCCGGTTCTCCCCGGCCGCCCCCGCCCGCCCGGAGCGTGACCCCGCCGCGCCCCCGCCCTGTGACGTCATCACGCCGCGCCCTCCGCTCCAAGATGGCGGCGGGCGGGCGGGGCTGAGCCGGGCCCGGGCAGGTACCGGGAGCGGAGCGGGGCCGGGGCCCGGGGGGCGACCCGCGGGGACTGCCCGGGGGGCCGGAGCGCCGAGCCGGGCCCGGCAGCACCGGAACCGGGGGGAACGGGGCAGGACCGGGAACGGGGCTGCGCCGGGGCGGGGAGCAGGGACCGGGGCCGGGAGCAGGTACCGGGGCCGGGCGGGGCTCACCGGGCCGGGGCCGGGCCCAGCCGAGCCCCCGCCGCGCTCAGCCCCGAGGGGCCGCGGAGCCGCCACAGCGCCCGCAGCGCCGCCATCGTGCCCTTGGCGCTGCGCATGCGCGGGGGGCGCCATGGAGGGGAAGGGCAGACGCTGTGGGCGCCGCCATGTTGGGTACGGGCAGAGCCCTCGCTATTAGCCTGCGGGCGTTGCGCTTGCGCAAGTCGCCATGGTGCTGGCGGGCAGCGCGCCGCCATGTTGGTGTGGGGGGGCTGCGCCGCCATCGTGACCTTGGCGCTGCGCAGGGGCGGAGGGCGCCGTGGGCGGGAAGGGCAGGCGCAGCGAGCGGCTCTTTGGTGGGTGTGGGCAGGTGCGCCGCCATCGTGTGTTCGGAGCGGGAACGCCGTGGCTGGGAAGGGCAAGGGCAGCTGTGAGCGCCGCCATGACGGGTGTGGGCAGAAAGGGTGCGCATGCGTACAAACGCCGCCGCTGGAAAAGGACACACACGTGGCGCGGACACGCCCCCACCAAACCCGCGCCCAATCACAGCGCGGCGTCTTCGTGACGTCACCGAAGAAGCGAAAAAAATTCTAGGAAGGGGCGGGGCAAGGAGCGGTTGCCACGGCGACGGCGCCCAGTAAGACCACGCCCCTCAGGGCGGAGCTGTCACGGACCACGCCTTCTCGGGCTCTCCCGGGTCGTTGCGAGCCCCGCGCCCCGCCCCGGGGTCACCGAGCGCCACCGGAGCCCCCTCGGGACCCCCCCGGTTCTCCCCGGCCGCCCCCGCCCGCCCGGAGCGTGACCCCGCCGCGCCCCCGCCCTGTGACGTCATCACGCCGCGCCCTCCGCTCCAAGATGGCGGCGGGCGGGCGGGGCTGAGCCGGGCCCGGGCAGGTACCGGGAGCGGAGCGGGGCCGGGGCCCGGGGGGCGACCCGCGGGGACTGCCCGGGGGGCCGGAGCGCCGAGCCGGGCCCGGCAGCACCGGAACCGGGGGGGCGGGGCAGGACCGGGAACGGGGCTGCGCGGGGGCGGGGAGCAGGTACCGGGGCCGGGAGCAGGGACCGGGGCCGGGAGCAGGTACCGGGGCCGGGCGGGGCAGCACCGGCCTCAGGTCTATACCGGGAGCGGCAGAGCGGTGCTGGGGTCGGGCCGTACCGGGACCGGCGGTATTCGGTGCGAGAAACAGAACCGGGAGCGGATTGGGCTGAACCGGGCCCTTCCCGGTACCGGAGCGGGCCCGCTCCATCCCCCGGTACCGCTGCAAGCCCTGTCCCCTCTGTCCCGCAGCCCCGGTGCCCCCGCCATGCTGCCCCGGGCCGCTTGGGCGGCTCTCCGGTGACACCGGGCGGCTCTCCGGTAACACCGGGCGGCTCCCCGGTAAAACCGGGCGGCTCTCCGGTAACACCGGGCGGCTCCCCGGTAAAACCGGGCGGCTCTCCGGTAACACCGGGCGGCCCCGCGATGCTGCGGCGGCTGCTGGAGCGGCCGTGCTCGCTGGCGCTGCTGGTCGGGTGCCAGTTCGCCTTCGTGGCGTATTTCTCGCTGGGCGGGTTCCGGAACCTCACGGCGCTGTTCGGTCGCTCCGCCGGTCCCGCCGTGGATTATTCCCGGACTCACGACGTGTACGCCAACCTCAGCCGGGTCGGTGCCGGTTTCGGTACCGGGAATGGCCCCGCTGAGCCGCCGGACCCCGCACGGCCGCTGCCGTTCTGCCCGGAGAGATCGCCGTTCCTCGGTGAGAACGGGAGGGGAACCGGGAGAGGAACGGGAGGGGAACGGAGACCCCTGAGAGGGAACCGGGAGGGGAACAGGAGCACCGGGAGGGAACCGGGAGGGGAACGGAGAGCCTCGAGGTGGAAACCGGGGAGAGGAGAGGAACCGGGCAGCGCTGGGGGAAAGAACCGGAGACCCCCCCGGGAGGAACCGGGAGCGGGGGGAAGGAACCGGAGACCCCCGGAGGGGAAGGAACGGAGACCCCCGAGGGGCTCCGGTTCTTTCCCGCGGGGGGGAAGGACCGGGGAGTGACCCCTCCCCGTGGGAGGAGGAACCGGTGCCGCCCCTCCCCCGGTAAAGGACCGGTTCCAGCCCTTCCCCCGGTAAATATCCGGTTCCCGCC